AAATGATACAATGTACAAACAATAAGGCGTATTTCAAACAAACAAACAAACTTGCATAAAAGAGAAAAGGGATGGGTGCAAATAAAGATAAGAAAGTCCTTACTGTAAAATTTGTATTTTAAATGTTGAAAGTGTTCGATAGAAAATAGTGTCACTAGCGCCCCAAAGTCAGAATTCTCACATTGAAGTCAGAATCCTGACTTTAAAGTTGGGATTCTAAAAAAAATGTCATAATTCTAATATTAAAGTCAGAATCCTAAGAAACAGTCAGATTTATTTCATATATTTTTTTGTGGCCCTAATCCTCTTTCGTACATCAAGGATGACAAAATATCAGTTATATTTAACATTTAGCTCCTCTTAGCTTGCAGGTTTAAAAATAAGAAGCTGCACACAGCTAGCCTCACATCTTTCATTTACTCACCAGCAAACACCTTGATCGAGTCAGATCGAGTTTTACCAAACTGATTTTCGGCCGTGCAGTAGTACTCTCCTGGGTGGTGTGAGTAAACTGTGAAGTTCTGCTCCGCAGACACTGCCTTTTCCTCTGTTTTATTGTACCACTTAAATTTAGCTGCAGGGTAGCTGTGACTGATGCAACTCAGAGTTACAGAACGTCGTCCACCGCTCAGCTCTCGCTCTTTCCCCTTACTGATTGTTGTGAGTTTTGGTGCATCTAAGCAGCGTAAAGTTAAAAAAAGGAAGCAAGTTATGCAATTGAAATGTTGTGTGTTATGTTTTGTTTCAGTTTATGAGACCATACCAAAATAATCTTTGTACTCACGCAGGATTTTAACTTCCACTGGCTGAGATTGTCCAGTTCCGATCTGGTTTTTAGCCTCACAGCTGTACAGTCCACCATCAGAGAGGCTGGCAGACTTTACAGAGTAAACACTTGTTTTTCCAACATTTTTATTACCCGTCCTTTTTATCCAGCTGAATGAAGTCATGGATGGGTTGGAACGGCCACTGCAGCTCAAGGAAAAGGTTTTATTTTCTTTCACTTCAAGGCCATTCTGAGCTGTGATTTTCACATCCTTGGGAGGATCTGAGTTTACACAAGTAGAGTTTAAAGAAAGKGTTTTCAGTTCAGTCTTTAAATGTTTTCTGATATGAAAAAAACAACAAAAACAGGCAACTCTTTAAAATTAAAGATCGCGTTATTTGGCTGGATGGAAGAAGTGAGTTAAAAACCGCAAAAAAGTAACACTTCACGTGATCACAGCTTTATTACTTTTTGTGTTTTTGACGATATTATTTTGGACTATAAATCTAACACAGTAACATAAAAAACACAGTTCTGCACTTTAGCTATTTTATTATTTTTTTTAAAAGCAAGTGTAGAAGATTTAGTTTTTTTTATTAACTGAAATGGAAAGTTCTGGTTTCAGATATTAACATGCACCCCCCACATTACTCACATTCAACTTCTAACTTCCTCTCAGAGCTTGTGTTTGATCCTTCGGTGTTTGACGCTTCGCATTTATAARAACCTGCGTGGGCTTCAGTCGCAACAAACGTGTGGTTGAGAAGGTTTTGTTTATCAGCAGTCTGAGAAATAAATTCTGAAAACTGGTTTTTTGGTGATGAAGATCTTATCTCAAAACTTGACGATGGGGAACTTTCAGCCCTGCAGGTGATCGTCACCGATTGGTTTTCTCTAACTTTGGAGGGTAAAGTCAGCTGGACGTTGGTGGGAGGATCTGTGGAGAGAAAACAGCAAACAGATCCGTTTTCAGAAGGATTCAGTYTAGATTCAGTTTTTACATGTTTGGTCATTTTGTACAGAAATCTTTTYAAAAGAAGGTCAACAGCTTTCATTTGACATTTTCTACACGTTTTGCCAAAAGAGTGTGCACAACACATAAAATATATTGTGGTATTTTTACTCATCACCACTTAGGTTCATTAAAATATATGCATGGGCGGGGGGGGGGGCAATTGGGGGGTTATGACCTCCACAATAATTTGATACAGTCAACATAAGCCCCCCCTCTAATAAAACTGCATCATTTGCCCTAATACAATAGTAGTAAGGCAGAATGGCCTAAAGATGTGTCCTTAAACGCATGCAACGATATTTTGCATTTTAGGAAAGGTAACAAATGCCTTAATTTTTACCCCCCTTCCCAAACAAACATCAACAAAAAAATACAACAAAACCAACATACTGTTTGCCTTACTGTGTGACGAAAATAGCTAATAACCTACATAGAAGCAAGGAGAAATGGACCAGCTTTATTTATATTTCCTGTTTTCACTACTCTCTGCTAGGGTAAAAAAAACATCTTGTGATGTACTTGCAGTGTAAAATCTATGAAAGAGGATTAGGGCCACTGAAAAAAATAAAAAATAAAAAAAATAATATTGCTGGTTTTAATTTTAGAATTCTGACTTTGTGAGTCTTTCCTCAGCCTTCTGGCTTTAAACTCAGAATTCTGACTGGCCCTAAAATCCTCTTTCGTAAAAATCGGTCCTAAATATTTTACGCATTTTTACTCAAACAGAGACTTAATCTGGCATTTTTTGCACAGGTCATTTCTCATTCATTTAAAATATTGTCTTCCAAGTTGAAAATCGGACCTGCTGGCCTCAAAAATAACATGCACTTTATAGAATTTAAATTAAAAAGTGAAAAACAACATAAAAGCAAACGTTACTTACAAAGAACCTGTATGCACACTGGATGACTCRTGTTTCCTTTGCCGATGCTGTTGGTTGCATTACAGACATAACACGCTTCATCTTCTCTTTTAACCGAGTTTAAAGTTAGAGTTTGTTCTCCTCCCAACCATTTCCAGTGAGATTTGTTCAACTCTGTGTATCTGAACCAGGAGTAATCTGGTTTTGGATACGCTTTAGTCTCACAGGTTAGTTTGAGTCTTTTGTTAATTTTTACTGTGTTACCAGAGGCACCTTGTAGCCGAATGCTGCTCCTTGGTTTGTCTGGAACAAAAGAAAAATATTAACAAGTATCTGGTGTAATGAGTTATCATAGATCTGTAAGCTTTAGGATTTGAAACTTACATTGAACCTGAAGACGTTCGGCATGTCTTCCAGAACCCACAACGTTTGTGGCTTCACATGTGTAAGTGTCGCTCTGCTCTGGTTTTATCTTGTCTAAAACATGTATCCTTTCTCCACCAACAACTTTTGTTTTTTTCCAGGTATATTTAAAAGGTTGTGGGTTGCTTCTGATAACAGTACATTCAAGTGTAATCTTGTCTCCTTCTTCTATGTAGCCAGAACGTCTTCCAGGCAGCTGATTGATTGTCACCCTAACTTCTGGGGCATCTAAAGACAATCAATCAAACAAAAATCATTATTTCCTTTCTAAATCCATTTATTTTCTTTGTTCATTTTGTAATTTCGGTTGAAGTACTAAAATTTTTTAAAAAAATCCCAAACTCACAACAGGGATTTTCGCGCAATTTCTTTAGATAATTGAATATTATTTTCAAAATGTAAACAAAGAAATACTTACACAACACATCAATTTTTAATGTGTTTGACTTTACAATCCCATATTCRTTCCAAGCTGCACAGTAGTAAGAGCCACTGTCTGATGCTTTAACTGATGTGAAATTCAGCTCAGCTCCTGAGGTGTTGTGGAGATCATCTTTAACCCACATAAARTGAACATCAGGTGAACCTTTGGCTGAACAGCTGAGATTCACAAAGTCTTTCTCCTCCACTCTGTTAGGGCTTTGTTTAGCCTTAACTTCTTTGGGACCATCTGTTTCCAGCAGAATCAGGGCGAAAACACAAGTTAAATTACTTCTTTGAAAAAATTAAACACGTTGAACAGGTCCTGGCAAAAAGCTACTAATTATCTTCATATTGTTTAAGTGAATCAATTATAAATCAGTTAACTGAATGTTGTTTTTGGATTTTTTCATGTTGAACCAACAAAARGCCACTTTGTGCTGCTTGGTTTAGAGCAGCAGCGTGTTTCTGTTGTCACTCGAAATCACATACATTCTTAAATACATAATTACTTTTTTAACATTTAAATATTTCAACCATAATTAGCTGCAGTTCAAAAGAAACAATTTAGATTGTAATTCAGTTCTGATTTTCCACAATATTTTTTATTTTAACTTGTCTTGTTATCCTTGAACTATATTTATATSATAATTTGTATCTATTAGCAGTAATCATTTAATATTTTAAAAAAACCCAATCAGAAAAATTCCTGGACTTACATTTTACTGTCAAGGTGAAGTTTTTGATCAGGTATCTGTCTGTGTTATTTTCTGTTTGGCATGAAAACATCTTCCCATYATCTTTCCAGCTGGTTTTAAAGCTGTGTGTGGTGATTTGAGCTGTAGGTTTGTTGTTGCTGGAATGTGAGAGTTGCTGCATCATATCAGAAATGTGTAGCACCGACGGACATGAGCTTATTGTAGAGCAGGTAAGAGTCACTGTTTCATTCTCCATCACAACACCTGATTGGTAAAAAGTAAGGGGACAGGGATTGTCTGGAAAAAAAATAAAAACGATAAAAAGTAATTATCAAAACAGAAAGTGTAGTTTAGAAGGTTTTTTTTCATAAATTGATTTTGTTCATAAAATTTACAAGACACTGTCTTCAGGAAAGGGTTATTGCCAGAGTTCATGATGCATCAAAACAAAAATCAAGTTTTCAACTCCTCAGACTCTACAGATATTTTACTACATATTTTTCAAACGAACGAACGAACGAACGGTTTCTGTCTGTTTAAGGGTATTTATTTATTTATTTATTTACACCGTTTGGAATGAATGTTGTCTTGATTTTGAACTTACCTGTAACTGACAGGTTTGAAGGGTTTGTCACCCATTTGTCTTTTTCATTACGACCTCCAACAAATCTGAATTGATATTYTCCACTGTCCGTTTTATCCAGGTCACAGATCAAAATACTGCAGTACTGTGACTTAGCATATTTCTGCCATGTTGGCGAGCCGGTGTACTTCACTCTGTCTTTAAACTGTGGACTGACAGGACGTTTGACCTCATTTGTGCTGTAAATGGTTGTACCTGTAAAGTAACCATTTTCATATTCTGCATCTTTCATCCAAAACCAGTAAGCATTAGTTTCGTGCACAGTTCGAGTAACTTCACAAATGATTTCAACACAAGACCCCTCCTTAACTGTTAAAGACTTGTCTTTCAAAGTGAAGGGATTTTGTTGGGAATAAAAAGCACCTGTTGTAGAGAGAAAACAAATGAACAAGTCAGGTAATAAATTTTGATTTATGCAGTAAAATGTAATATTTTTAGCACCACTGAGTAAATAAAACAAACCACTTACTTGTGTTTAGAGCCAGTAAAAGGAACCATTTCACTGCACAAAGTTTCATTTTCACGCTTTTCTGAAGTTCTTTCTTCCTCTTTATGAAAAAAGCAGTTATCAGATCAATACAAACGTTCCCGTCTTCATTTTAAGACGGCTGTGGATCCATGGTTGGGTTTATTTTAAAATGCAGTCAATAAAAGGATTCTGTTCACAATAAAAGTAACAAAAATATCATTTAAAAAAATGCATTTTGGCATAAGGGAAATAGCTTTTGAACCATTAGCTTTCGTCAGTAAACTACTGTATTTTGTAATAAAATGCATCACAGTTTAAACTAAAACCTCAGCCATGTGATGTAAAACATTTCAGTTTCATTATTTTATGATGGGGAAAAAAACCTGGTGGAAAATTTGACATATTTTTGTGGTTATTTTGCTTCAACAGCCTTGCATTCAGAGAAAACTGACAAAATATTCTCTTTGAGATTGGCAGCTTAAGCACCTTTATTTATTTTACATGAGGAATTATATTAATGATGAAGAGCATAATAAAATATAGCAGAATGGGTTTCATTGTTTTTATAATATACGTCATTTATAACATGGCCCTAAAATTACAAGTTTGATTGATTGTATTTAAAAAAATACAGTTATTGTTATGTTTGTTTTCTTTTTTTCTTTCTTTCTTCCTTTTTTTGTTTGTCATTTCGTTTATAAAGTCAATTAAGATCACAAAAGCTTTTAMCCCTTCTGCTGTCCTGGGTCATAACGACCCAAGCTGAAATTTTGTGCAAATCCAAACTGAAAGCAAGTCAATTATTTTGCAAACTTTTATTTTTTATGTAATAAAAAAAGAAAAACTTGGAGAAATTTTTAGGCCAAAACTAAAATAATTGTTTCTTACCTCTACTAGCTGTGTGCTGCACTTCTCTTTCTCAAAGCAAAACCAAGATAAAAAAAGGAAGTTTCACAGTTCACAGAGTCAGGGTTTACATAAGTAAGCATCAGAGTGGGTGAAAACCAAAATTTCTTTAATAGTTTTGGTTTTTTTTTTTGTCTTTTGTGTTACCGTGTTGAACCTCCCACCACTTCCTGTATTCAGGTTTTGACACTGAACTTTACAGATCAGGTCTTACAGAGAAACATCTACTGAATTTGTTCCAATTTATGGTTACACAGTGTTTTCTTTACAACAATAAGTGAACACAATACAGCAAAGTATTGTATTATGTTTCAAMGCACAGAAGTGATGCTTTAGCTACAGAGACAGGAAGAGAAAAACATCATTTCCCCTCTCCCGTTGCTGCTGCCACTATCTTCTCAGCATCAGCAGCCATCTCGTCCACAGCACCGTTCAGAGCCTGCAGCATGGCGGTGAAAGAACGCCCGGCTGATCGAGCGTGTCGAGGCATCGCCATTTCCAGTAACTTTGAGGAAACGGTGGACAAGTCTCTCTCGGCTGCAGCGAGCCGTCTCTTCACGTCGCCTTTAGTGACCTCTGCTGACAGCTCACAAGTCCTCAGCCTTTTCAGCTCTGCTGCTTCCCGGTGTCTCTGCCGGGCCAGTCGCTCAACCGATTCATCGTCCAGGCACAAAGATAGCCGGGCTTTGGTCAGAATCTGCACTGCTATGCTCGAGTCCACCATGGATGCCACCAGGGGAACAGGGATGGCTGATATCCCGCCGGACAGAGAAGCAGCCGCCCAAATGAGGGCTTTAAAGGCCTCTTTTTTCTGGGTGACCAGTGTTGGGGTGAAAGCTGGGAGAGCCAACAGGAGTGCGTGAGCTCGGATCTCTGGAAGGTCTTTACTCATGTCCACCAAGAGGTCAGGGAAGTCCAGCTTCTCCAGGGTGGAAGGTCTGACCAGGAAGACTTTAGGTTGTTTTACACTCTGGGATTTCAGCACTTCCAGACCAGCTTTCCTCTTTTCTTCCAGACTCTTCTCTGTGTCTTTCACAGCAGATAAGAGAACAAAGTAGACGGTTTGTCGCTGCAGGGAACGGGCCTCCAGGAAAACCTCCACACTGTTGGGATGAAGCTCCTGTGTGAACGTCATAAAGACCGCGTTGTAACGGAGGAACTTAAACCTGTTCATGTATCCCTCTGGTTCGAATGGGGACGTCGTGGGGACAGGTGGCAGATCCCACAGGCGGAAGTCAGGGTGTTTGGGGTTTGGGTAGCCAGCCACGTCCTCCAGGGCAACGGGAAACAAAGAAGGAGCTGCGCACTCATCGTCAGGTCCRAGGCCACGAAGAGAGTTCATGAAGGAGGCTTTTTCATCCCCACGGTCCCCAACAACAGCCAAGTTGATCCTGCTGATCAGGAGGTCTTCCACTGCCTCCTTCACGTCGGATAACTTGTTGCTTTCTATGGACTCTTTGAGAGCTTCAAGGAGGTTCAGACTTCTGAAGACATCAGCCATTCCTATGAGGATCACAACATGTTAGGAAAGTCTCCATGAATTATAATAGGTTCARGTTAAAATTTAAAGACTTTAAAGTGCCTGTGACATCAAATATTTGTAATAAATATGAAAGCATTTTTAGRAAGACAACATTAATAACACATTGACGCTGCTGAGATGAACAGTTGTTGAGATATTCACATGTGTAACAACAGGAAGTGATGTCAAAGGGCAATGTCAACAATGCTACAATGGCTAACAACACAGACTGTAGAAAATAATCTGATGTTTCTTCAGATTATTTTGAGTCACTATCAGAGAGAGACAAAGAAGAGTAATTTGCATAGAAACAATAATATTGTTTCAGTAAACAAAGACCAGGGAGTTGATTTTCTTAAAAACTTCCTCTTTGATGTCACTTCCTGTTTCATTTTGGCCAAGCCAAGTTCACCAGAACAGATGCTAATTACATGATTAAAATGGGTAAAATTGAGTGTATTATGCCACGTTTCTTAAATATAAAGGTCTTTTCTTTGACTTTTTGTATTTGATGGATATACATGTCACAGGTTCTTTAAAACTCGATGTGATGTAAAAAAAAGGAAAGAGATTTGTTCAAACTTGAGCTTTTAGCACATTTTTACTACAGTAATTAATGTTGTYACCATTTCCTTTATTCCACCACATTTGATGTAGTAAACATTAGGATGTAAAAACCAAATATTTTCATTTATACAATTTATAAATACATACTGTYCTTTTTATTATAAGATATTATTTTGAAATTGCATCATTACAGCAATAAAAGTGTTTTTAAAGCCGAMAGACAAGATTTCCAAGAGTTCTCTGAACTTAATAAAAAACATCTCAGAGAACTTTAAAGAAATTAACAAAATGATGTGGGTTAGTTTGGTTAGTTGTTGCAAAAACACTCAGATTTGAACATTTGCTTGATGTTGTACATGTATGATACATAAACTAATGTGTATATATAAAGTATTAAGTAATGATCATACARTAAAATGTTGAAAATGTTACAGTAAAATTTCCTAATTAAATACACTTACCTGTGTGTCTAGAACTGAAGCAGCCGTCGATAAAAATATTTAACCGTTTCTTCTGAGGTGCTGAAGCGACAGCCGCTGGTTGAACTATTTAAAGCCCTCATCTAGTGGAACTTTCTAATCCTGTGGGTTAAACCTTAATCTAATCTCATGTAAACCTCATACCTGCATACTGTGCGTGTGTACCAGCACCCACATGTTTAGTTACACACACGTAAGCACATTTACAAACATGATGCACAGACATTCAGGATATGGATTGAAGGAAAATGATTTATGGTGCAGCAGATGTTTGCATCAGTTTTTAAATGAAACTGAGCAAATCCTCATGAGTGAACACAAATTTACAGCAAAAAACATACAAGACATGTACAAAATGTGTAGTACATTAAAACCAAGTTTTAAAAAAATTACAGTTTAAATTAAATTACTCCAACCCTCCTGCTGCTCTCGGGTCAAAGTGAGGATGGGAAACTAGTTTATCTTCCTAAACCCAGTGTATCCATGTGTTAACACACAGAAAGCATTGTTTTCTKAAGGTTAACATTTCATTTACTGTAAAACTTCACACATTGTATAAAGAGGAACAACGTTATGGAGATGTGCACTGGTATTTAAGGAGCCTTTAATGCAGACACTGAAGTTTTTCTTTGCTCTCTGAAGAGGAACCTGGTATGCAAAACATCTGACATCTGTTCACAATGTCAGCTCTTATTTAGGGGTTTTATATTTTCACACAGGATTTCTTGCCTCGTTGTCGGGAAACAACCCTTTTGAGATTCATCTTGATTTTAGTTGTGTTAGATGATTATAAAGTCAAAACAATAATACTTTCAAAAATTGAGAACAGGCACTGTCACCCTTATACTGTAGTAAAATTAAAAAAAAATCAGCTCCTGCCTAAACATGATAAATGGCCTGCTTCTTTGAAAAATACAAGATAACAACTCGACTGTGCTCTGATTTAGAAGTCTTAATCCTGTGCTTCTCACATATGAAGCACATCTTCTGTAGCATCAGCAGTAGCAGTAGGCAGGCTGAAAACATTTAAATAAGCAAATAACATGTCTTACTTCTACACTAGTAAATTATTATCTTTTACATGCATCTTAATTAACTTACAGA